TACTTCGATTTCTCCTTATCAACCATCAAGATTAGAGTTGTTCCTGGATAATATAATTCTGGTCTTTTATATTCTAACCTCACCGCACCCATAAACCTGATATTGATACCCTAAAAACCATTGCCAAGCCTGTATACCTATATTTTCAAGTTTTTCTTATGTTTTTTGTTTCTTTTCTTTGCAAAATCTTTTGTTAATTATTCATACTGATCTTAATAGGTTGTTTTAAGCAAATTTACTCATAATAATACAATGTGCAATGTATAAGCCTAAAAGATCTTCTATTGATCAGATTTCATCAATTTTGAGTTTTCTTTTGTGCTGAACTTTTCTAATAACTTGGTTAACAACCAATGATTAATTTTCTTTGGTTGATCCCATAAATTGATCACCACAAACTACACCAAAAATCCTTGAATAGCCATTGCCATTAAAGAGACCCATCCTGGCGCTGTAATATTGGCAGCCCAAGAGAGGGACCTCTTGCCAGGACAAGAAGTACCTGATAATCCAAGAAAATCCTCAGCAAGAGATGCAAGGACCAGAAAATAATTCTTGTGCTCCTATAAGACAAAATTGATCAGTAACAAGATTTAGAAGAGACACTGTGCCTGTTGAAAGCTCCCTTGACATTGATGGTGCATCTACTGTGACACTGGTGTCCATATTTGGTGTTTTTTACATTGCAATACTCTTGTAGGTCAATTGAGCAATGCACAGTGTTGAGACCACCCAAGCAGTGCTTGAACAGCTTGGGTGAGTGCCTCATCACGTCTTACTAGATATCACCTTTGTGGCAGCTGAACATTCAACACTTGCTAGCCAAATGTCTTCAGGAAGCACAGAAAAAGCTGGTAGTATTGAGGGATCAGGTGGTTGGTCTATATTGGGATCAGAGACATGAGTGACTTTGGTGGTATGTTTGGAGAACTTGTAAGGAAATGAAGTTTTGGCAGTCCATTCTGGTGATTTTGTGCTCATTCAAGTGTCCAAGATTCCATAATGTGTAGCATTTGGCTTATCTTTGAATATGTTGTCCATTTGTCAAAGGCATGGGCATTTTGTTTCCAGAATATCTGTCATGGTCAGACCTTTTGCATGTTGTTTGTCAGTTAAACCAGCACCACTTCCCTTTTGCCAAGTCTTTGTGGCATGGTATCTTTTCTTGTAACAATTTCATCAACCTCTTAAAGTACTTCCAGTGAGTTGTATGACCATACCTGTGGGCCATGAGGAGTATTTTGCTGATACTCCCATTGTCAGCCATTGAGGACACCCAAGAGGACTCTGAAGTATGACAGATATTGTATGTAAGTATCAAGGGTCAACTGGATGTGATGTCATATACATTAGTTTGAGAAAACTGAGGATGTCATACTCGAACTCCAGGAGACCCTTAGGCTTATCTCAAAGAAGGATATTCATAGATCTAATGGATCCTAGTTACATTCTGAGGATGTGAATACAGTATTAGAAAAAAGCAACATATCTTGTTGGTTGCACATTACAAGACCCTGAGCTCACAGAAAAATCTGATGTGCTAGATCACAAAGAAGTGTGCACAATGATATATAACCAGTGATTTTAACCCTTGTGAGAAGGAGAATCACCTTTTTACAAACCAACAACCTTACTTTTAGAAATAAAACTAAATACATTTTTACCAAAAATCCAGCTCATACTTTTGACTTAGATTGTATCCAATTCATTGATCCTATCTTTCTTACTTGACTGTTATCATTTTTTATAACTGTTATTGTGTATATCGTCACTAAAGCATGTTTTTATCAAACTAAGATCTGAACATCTAGATTGACACTTTTATCATCCAAAATATTTTGAAGATTGTTATTGATAAAGATGTCTCTTTATCAATATGTAGAAACTAGACTATTACAATTGCATTGTAAACCCGAGACAGGAATACTGTTGTACCTTCCTTGGAAGACCATTATTGGAACACACCTTTCAGCAAGTACCAGGGAGTAGTGCCCATGCTGCACCTAAGACAACTTGGATTCGCCAGCTCCGGTTATTCACCAGTTTTACTTCAGTAAGATACTGTAACAAAGCCTCAATACCCATCGCCAAACACATTATTCAGCATGGTTCTGCTGAAGGTACTTGTTTTACGTCTCAGGATGACATTTAGACACCTATGTTGAGTGAGATTATAGTTGATGTGGTTGGTTTTTGTATTTTCTGCATTGTTTACATTATTTACATCATATTATTTGTAATTCTGCTCATGCCTTGTGTGTACCAGTACATAAAGATTCAAAAGCAAAAGAAACAAGTGTGATATAGAATGAGGCTATTCTGGAACACGTGTATTTGAATGTCAATATAAACTCAAGTTGCAAGGAATC